AACTCAATCTTAAACTAAATTCACTACAAAATAAGTTTTAAATATAAAATAAAGTCTCAAACCAAATCCACAAATTCACTACAAAATAAATTTTGTATAAAAGTGACAATAGTGGTGCTGGTGGCCAAATGGTGAAAACTTCAAAATGTGTGTTGAAGGGGTGGGATTTGAATCCCCTTGTGCGCACAAACTTGTTGAAAGTTTTCAAATTTTGTAAACCGAACGGTTCATTGGTTTAGAAGCCAATGGAGTTGACTCGATTTTTTCAGTTTTGACCGAATTTGACTAACTTTGATTAGATCTTATTACAAATTGAGTTTATGTTATGATTCGAACCGATGTTGTAATCGGTGTCGGTTCAATCAACAGACCAATTGGTTCGATTTGGGTCTTAAATCAATGGCAAAATGATTTTGAAATATCCAAACAGACCGAAACTTTATGACACTCTTAAGTTTATCCAAATACTCACTGCACAATTATACATAACCCAAATAATGTATCATAATCAATCATTATAACCATAATTAACCCAAATTCATTAAAAAAAAAAATGACAAGAGCCATATATTAATAAACCTAAAGGAGAGTGAAAAAGGTCTCTTTTCTGGACCTGATAAAACCAACACCCACCTCAGAATCTGAAAAGTTAACTGTAAAACCACAAATAGTAAACATCTAAAAACTTCATAATGTACAAAAGCAGCCACCATTTCAACACTCTGATGGAAAACCACCCTGAATCAACCTGCATTTGGATTTTTGTATTTAGAAGAAGTGATTTGGATTTCGAATTTAGTTAGGTTGTTTGAATGGAACAATGGAAGTTTAAAAATAAAGCTTTTATTAAGATCTCACTCAAGTTCATGGCTATGAAGCTTCACAGAATAGAGGATTTGAAATGCCTAAAGGTGATGTTACTCTTCAAATTCATAGTTTGTGGATGTCAAAATATATTTGTATAAAACAAACCTTCACCAATTTTGTTATACCATCTGCATCTATCTACAAACTTATATGGCAAAGGCAAACGAAAATCCTAAGCCATTGATGAATTTGATTAGACATTTTCCTAAACTCTGGTAACTCATTCTTGAACCAAGACAACACTTTGAGAGAACCATTTTCACAACAAATTCCCAAGTATTTAGTAGCCAAATTCAATCACCAACTTAGCATCCCATGCTTTCGCTTGGGATCCATAAGGGTAGTTAGTGCTTCCAACCTAACCTGTACTCAAACTAAAACACTTGCTGCTTCAATGGCCCTGGGAATATAGTCCACATCAATTACAGGCTTCACCACCTTTATCTCAAATCTGTATGCCACCTTAACCAATTTGATTTATCAGTGATGCTTATCTCTAAAGGCAGCTCATTGGCAAGCAATGGTGCTGAATCGATTCCTCTCAGAAGTTTGGCACTGATAGTCATTGTGTTAATCACAAAAGCTCTGGGAGACATCATATTGTCATAAGCATTGTGTGTAGCAACAGCTTGATCCAACATATCTGCCAACTTAATCCTCCAAGTCTTTTTTTTTTGCTTAAAATATAATTTAAAATGGAATTTCAATTAAAAATCACATACTTCAAAACAGTACTAAATTGAAAAAAGAATTCGTTGGCTTACCTTGTCTAAGGAATCGGCTCAGATGGAACGAAACTTGGCTGAAAGGGTGAACCCAGTGGGACTGGGCTCTGTGGATCAAAACTAAGTTATGGCACCCTCCTCTAGATATACATTGGACCAAAGGGCAGATGATGGCGATCAAAAGCATCCACTCACTAGCTTGGTCCAACTCCACATTTGGAAACACCAGAAAATGTCAGATGGGGAGGGACAAGCGAAGCTGGAGCGCGGATTAGCAAAGGCGAAGTGTGGATGAGCGTAGTGTGAAAATTCAATACAAGGAAGGCCACTCCACCTATTGCCAATTGGTTTTCGGTTTGATGCAAACCTTGTGTTAAGTCCACATGCACAATTTTCACATGCTATAAGAGCCCAAATTCTATCCTGGGAAACCCGTTGTTAGCCCACCTGATAGAACCCGAAGTTGAAGATACCGGGCTTGCATTTAAGGGGGCATGTTAACCCATGTGACAAGACCCAACATTCATAATAAGCCTACACATGAGGAGGCGTGTTAAGTGGGAAAATCCCACATTGAGTATAAAAAAATAAGAAGCTTATGGGTTAAATATAAAGAAAGTCACTCCACCTATTACCAATTGGTTTTAGGTTGGATGTAAGTCTTATGTTGAGCCCATGTGCACAATTTCACATGGTATCAGAACTTGGGTTTTATCTTGAGAAACCTGTTATTAACCCACCTAATAGGACTCGAAGTTGATACCGGGCCTACATGTAAGGGGCGTATTAAATCACGTGATAGGACTCTTATATTCATAGTGGGCCTACACGTGAGGGACATGTTGAATGGGAAAATCCCACATTGAGTCTAAAACAAAGAAATCTAAAACAAAGAAATCTAAAACAAAGAAGTATGTTGGTTAAATATAAAGAGGGCTACTCCACTTATTGCTAATTGGTTTTAGGTTGGATGCAAGTTTTATGTTAACCCACATGTACTTTTTCACATGATATTAGAGCCCAAATTCTGTTTTAGGAAGCCCATTGTTAGCCCATTGTTAGCCCACCTAACAGGATCCAAAGTTAAAGATATTGGACCATATTCATAACAGGCCTGCACATGAGGAGGTGTGTTGAGTGGGAAAATCTCACATTGAATATAAAAAATAAGAAGCTCGTGGGTTAAATACAAAGAAGGTCACTCCACTTATTGCCAATTAGTTTTAAGTTGGATGCAAGTCTTGTGTTGAGTCTATATGCACAATTTCACACGTAGATGGAGAGTGGAGGAGTCAATATGGAGTGAGGCGAGCCTCCAGTACCAGCATCCGAGCAGATCTCCGAGCGATCAGCATTGAGAACGATTGGGTTAGCAAAATTTTCCGAAGGGCCATTTGAAATTTTGATTTGAAAGTGCTCGATGAAATGCCTCTTATAGTGGCGGTGTTGCGCGGGGGGCAAAGCTGAAATTTATGTATTTTTTTCCCTTAAAAAAAAATTATTGTAATTGAATGGACGGATATTTTTTCTTGTTTAGTGGTTAGGTTCTCCCTGTCTAACTTGTATATACAAATTGAGACTAATTCATTTTGTATATTTAGTTATAAATAAATTATTTATATTATAATTAAAAATTTTATAAAAAATTATTTATTTATTAACCTTTATAAACCGTTAAATATGGATAGACGATAAATCAATTTTTACTTCTTTAGTTTGAAACTTAACGGGATGGGATGGTGGAGATGACTTTCTCTTTTTTTTTCTTTAATTTACTATACATTTTATTCTTTGTACCGAAAAGAAAAAACAAAACTTACCAAAAAAAGAAAAAGAAAAAGAAAAAGAAAAAACAATACATTTTATTCTAATCAAAACCAGGAAGGGAAGCATAAATATATTTTTCTTTTCCTTTCCTTTCCACTCCCTCCCTTCAAACAAGGATAATTTAATTCTAATAGTGTAAAATGAACTGATTAAAAGGGAGTTAACATAATTAATGAACTGGGTTCAGTGTACTTTACATCTAGAGCAATAGAAATCCATGTCCCGTGTTGCATTTATTTGAAACAGCTATCTGTAAAGAAAGAAAAAAAAAATCAATTGAGAAGCAAACACAAAAGCTCGCTGAATTTGCTTGATTGTGAAGTGATCGTGTACATCATACAAGCTCTAGCCTTGAAGAAGATAAGAATCATAATTATTAAATGTGTAAGATATAATATATATATATATATATATGTTTTAATTTTATCAATTCATCATATAATTATTATTTAATATCTTAATATTTTTAATATTAAACTATCTTATTTTTTAAAAATAAATTTGGCTCTTTTCTTCTTCTTTTTTAATTATTAACACTTGTATTTCAATATATGCATTAATTTTTGGTTAAAATATTATTTTAGTCCTTTAACGTTCAAATTTATACTTAAATTATCTTTAAATTTCAAAAAGTATTGAAATTGTTCTTAAACTTTAATTTTTAGTATCAAAATAATCTTCCATTAACGAAACAGTCATACGGCTTGTTATCTTATTACAAAATTAGTTCTTTTTTAAAATAGTAATGACATATAAAATCAAATAACAATATTTTATCATTGTTTGATTTTACACATTATTAATATTTTTAAAAAAGAACTGATTTTATAACATGATAACAAGTTATGTGACACTTCCGTTAATGAAATAACAATTTTGATACTAAAAATT